AAAAAAAAAAACTCTTGGGCTCAAGCAATCCTCTTGCCTCAGCCTCCCAAGTAGCTGGGACTGTAGGTACCCACCACAATGCCCAGCTAGAGTTATCCACAGATTTATAAAAATTGCTCTAAAAATTTTTTTGAAAGACAATCACAAACCAAAATGTGCATTTGAAAAAATGAGGATGTACCTTCACGATGAAAGTAAAACAAGAAGTGTTAAAGTGAAACGTCAGAGATAGCAACTGGCAAACTTAGTGCTTAAGGAAACTGGACATTTCATACTTAATGACCTAGGTTAATACTGTTATTGCTGTCAAATATATTGGACAAATAATAAAAATGTTAATAGTTTTCAAATAGATTTTAGTCACTACAGTCTCTAGTGTCTTATTTTCTATTTTTTAAGGAAAGCATAAAAGTTGGTTTCATTGTGATATATTTCGATTAAAAGCAGTGGTAGTGGATATATTTGTTTTGTTTGTTAATAACATATGTCATATACCAGGAATATGAATACCATTCTAATCTCTAAACAGAAACCAGCCAAACCACTTACATCTGGTCCTTGCAAATCATTGAAACCCTCAGATGAAATGATTGAGACTACCAATGACTTGGGGAAGACAGAACTTTTCTGCTCTTTTAATTGTTTCTCTGCATACAATAAACCTAAGATGGAATCTTCTACAGGTAATTACAGAGATTTAGTAACTTTAAAAAACTATTTCACTTTAACTTATAATTTTTATTTATTTACAGATTAAACTGATTCAGAAGTTAAAACAATCCAAGACTTGTTACAAAGAACTGTTTTCCAGGGTTCATTGGTTATTTGTTTTGAGACAGAGTCTCACTGTGTTGCCCCTGGTAGAGTGCTGTGGCATCATTGCTCACAGCCACCTCAAATTCTTGGGCTTAAGTGATTCTCTTGTCTCAGCCTCACAAGTAATTAAGACTACAGGTGCCCGGCACAACACCCAGCTATTTTTTTGTTGCATTTATCAGTGTTTGTTTGTTTTTTCGGTTTTTTTTTATAGAGACAGAGTCTCACCTTATTGCCCTCAGTAGAGTGCTGTGGCTTCACAGCTCGCAGCAACCTCCAACTCCTGGGCTTAGGCAGTTCTCTTGCCTCAGCCTCCCAAGTAGCTAGGACTACAGACACCTGCCACAACGCCTGGCTATTTGTTTTTGTTGTTGTTGCAGTTTGGGCGGGGCAGGTTCAATCCTGCCACCCTCAGCCAGTGGGGCTGGCGCCCTACTTATTAAGCTATAGACACTGCCCGCATTTATCATTGCTGCTTTAGCAGACCCAGGCTGGATTTGAACCCACCAGCCTTGTTGTATGTGTCTGGCGCCCTACTCACTGAGCATGGGCACCACCACCCAGTTTTTTTTGTTGTTGTTTATTTGTTTTTTGAGGTAGAGTCTCACTTTGTTGCCCTTGCTATTTTTGAGGTAGAGTCTCACTTTGTTGCCCTTGGTAGAGTGTCATGGTGTCATAGCTCACAACAATCTCAAACTCTTGGACTCAAACAATTCTCTTGCCTCAGCCTCCTGAGTAGCTGGAACTACAGGCACCCTCCCAGCTATTTTTAGAGACAAGGTTTTGCTCTGGCTCAGGCTGGTCTCAAACCTGTGAGCTCAGGCAGTCTACCTGCCTCCACCTCCCAGAGTGCTAGGATTACAGACATGAGCCACCACACCAGGCCTCTTTTACAGTATTTTTTTTGGAGGAGGGGCCAGGGCTAGGTGGGTTTGAACCTGCCACCTCCGGCATATGGAGCCAGCACCCTACTCCTTTGAGCCACGGGCACCACCCTGTTTTCCAGTATTTTTATATAAAAAGAAGGCTACTGGCTCAGTGCCTGTGGCTCAAGCAGCTAAGGCACCAGCCACATACGCTGAGCTGGCAGGTTTATATCCAGCCTGGGCCCACCAGACAACAATGATGGCTGCAACCAAAAAATAAAAGCTGGGCGTCGAGGCAGGTGCCTGTAGTCCCATCTACTTGGGAGGCAGAGGCAGGAGAATTGCTTGAACTCAGGAGTTGGAGATTGCTGTAAGTTGTGATGCCCTAGCACTCTACCCAGGGCGACAGCTTGAGGCTCTCTCTCAAAAAAAAAAAAAAAAGGAGGGGAGGCTACTTTACTGCCACAGATTTAAGATTTATTTGTGAAGATTTATTGAATTGATAAAAAAAAAAAAAGCCTCTTGATTTTATAAAAAAGATTTAAACTGCCAGGTATAGTGGCTCACTCTCGAAGGCTGAGGCAAGAGGATTGCTTGTGGTCAGGAGTTCAAAACCAGCTTGAGCAACCTAATGAGACCCTGTCTCTACTAAAGATAGAAAAATTAGCTGGGTGTCCTGGCAGGCAGGCACTTGTACTAGCTATTCTAGAGGCTGAGGCAGGAGGATTGCTTGAACCCACAAGTTCGAGGTTGCTGTGAACTAGGCTGACTCTGTGGCACTCTAGCCTAGGCAACAGAGTGAGACTCTTTCTCAAAAAAAAAAAAAAAAAAAGAAAGAAAGAAAGAAAGAAAGAAAGGTTTAGGAAGAAAAATTAGGAGGCTGGGTACAGTGGCTCATGCCTGTAATCCTAACACTCTGAGAAACCAAGATAGGTGAATAGCTTGAGCTCAGGAGGTCAGGATCAGCTTGAGCAAGAGGGAGACTGTGTCTCTACTAAAAATAGAAAAACTAGCCAGACATAGTGGCAGGTGACTGTAGTCCCAGCTACTGGGACTTCTGGGACTTCTGGGAGGCTGAGGCAGGTGGATCTCTTGAACCCAGGAGTTTGAGGTTGCTGTGAGTTACGATGAGTGGCTGTCTTCCCAGGGTGACAGAGTAAGACTCTGTCTCTAAAAAAAAAAAAAAAAATTAGGGATATATGTCTTTAGATTATTTAGATCCTTTAGTAAGTGACATGTATTTTTATATTAATATATATTGAGTACTTGGGTGGCTCCTGTGGCTCAAAGGAGTAGGGCACCAGCCCAATAAGCCAGAGGTGGCAGGTTCAAACCCAGCCCCGGCCAAAAACTGCAAAAAAAAAAAAAAAAAAGTGAATATATTGAGTACCTACCTCAGGACTAAGGCACTCAGACAATACTGAATTTACTCAATATATTTATGATGAGAATTGTTCTATTAGAATATAGATGAGGGGCAGCACCTGTGGCTCAAAAGGGTAAGGCCCCGGCCCCATATGCCAGAGGTGGTGGGTTCAAACCCATCCCTGGCCAAAAACTGTAAAAAAAGAAAAGAAAATAGAATATGGATGAAAATGTATGATGAGAATTGTTCTATTAGAATATAGAACATTGGCTCAGCTCATCAGCTAGGGCACCAGCCATATACACCAGAGCTGGCGGATTTGACCAGGCAGCTCAGCACCTGTGGCTCAAGTGGCTAAGGTGCCAGCCACATACACCTAAGGTGGCAGGTTTGAATCCAACCCGGGCCCGCCAAGCAACAATGAT